AACCCGATTGCAGCCATTTTGGCTTGATTCAGCCCAATTTGATCCTAATTAAATGCCATTTGACTTTATATGCGTTTTGAATTTACTTTCTAAATCAAGAAATCATCCCAACGGCTACGATCGAACGAGATCGTTGTTTCAGCCAAAATATCGCTCCTCAGTCGATCTTCTGTATCTCGGACACACGTTGAGCAGAGAGCGGAGCTGCAAAAGGAAATTTCGGAGGCTGGAGTAGGACGAGGCAATTTGGCGGGCTTCCTTCTTCAGCGATAGGTTCGACTTACTCAGAGCAAAGCTCCCGACTACGGAGGAACGCTCTCATTCTCTCCCTCTCTCTCTCGCTCTCTTTGTTCTGAACCGAAAGAGCCGAAGCCCCATTTGGAGGCCCCGAACCCAACAGCCGCTGGCCTCCTCGGTTCGCACGACCCCAGTCCGAAGCCGGCCTCTCCTTGTGCGCGAAGCCCCAGCTCGACGCTGTCTGGACGGAGCTTGATCTCCCTCTCCGGACGGATCCCGACGCCTCTCGCCCGGACTGACCTGGACTTCGCCTCCTCTGTCTTCGCCTGGACCGAGCAAGCTCCCCTTTGCAAGGTGAGTATCTTTCCTCTCTTCTCCCTCTCTTGGCCCTTCCATTTCTTCTTGGTCTTCCTCTTTTCTTGGTCTTCTTCTACCTCTCTCTCACTCTCTATTTCTTCTTCTTTGCAAAACAAAAAAAAAATCTGAGAATCATTTTTGTTGCTTGAATTTCATTTCTCTTTGTTTCATTTATGTGTATTTGTGAGACAATTATTGCATAAATTTTAAGTCATCTTGTAGGGTTCATGGTGTATATGTCATTACACCATTTGCTCTATGGATTTCTAAGTAAATACATTCACTCTCCATAGTAAATTCCATGATAACGTTGAAATTCCTTACAAAAATCTGAGAATGAAATTTCTTTAAGTTGTTCTTTTGATCTTTATGCTTATGTCTTGTTGATGAGGTAATGATCTTATGGACTTTTGATAAGATTGTGGTGAGTTGTTTAAAGAAAGCTAGTTGTGATTTAGGTGTGAGCTATCCTTCTTATGTGGATTTGTTTTATAACTTTGCAAACATGCACTTCAAATGTCTGATTAAATGCCATGGGAGGGTTGTGATGCTTAGTTAATTGCTACTCATGATACTCAAGTTTGCAAGTAGAATTTCTTCACCAAATATGTTTAGGGTCATATTTAGTGTAAAGAGTGCATGTCATTGCTTTTCTATTTTGGTGAGAGGTCATGTATGGCTACGTTTGCTAAAGCCTCCTCTAGTTTCTTCTTTAATTTCTTGTGAGAAAATGATTGAAGTTGCAAGTACAACTCATGGTGCATTAGTCTTATGGCTTCTTCTCTTTCTTGATTTCTTGTCAACTTGTTATACAACATGCCTTACTCGCTTGGACCTAAAGACTTATTGCTAGCGGTAAGTAGGAAGGGCTATATACTCATTGGCTTATGGTTGAGGTAGCTTGTCACTAGTAGTTTAACGATACATCCATTGTCGTTTCCGGTTATATAGTTTTGTTCTACTTATTTAACTACAAAATGGAGTTTTAATCTTTTTGGGAAGTAATGGTGGTTATTGCTAAACGTGGATAATTCTCTTGTGATTATTTTCTTGGCATTTAGAATTCGCACTTGATCATGGTTTGAATCACATATTGGTTGAGTTCATGGGAAATTTGTAGTAGATCATAAAGTGTCATGATCTCCGAAATACGCATACAAGGTTTTTTTTTTGTTTTTTTTGGTGGTGTTCACTAAGGAAAGATACATGTGTAAGCAATAGATATACATGTTGGTTTTTGTTGTTATTGCTACACCCCTCAAATTGGAGCTTAATACTCTATGCTTTATTTTATCTAGCCTTTAGTTTATCCATGTGATATAAAGTATTGCCCTTGGTAAAGTACTGTTGAGAACTTATGAATTTCATGATGTTGGAAAGAGAGACTAGTGTTTGAACTGTTGCAGAGTTTCTCATTCTCATAGTTATTTGTTCATAAATTCTCTTGAAATAATATGGTTAGTTTGGGAAGTCGACTTGATTCGGTGCGAGGTCACATGATTTCTATTAAGTAACTTTCGTTGAGCTTCTTTTCTTCCTTTCACTTGTATGTGGCTTAAGATTGGATCAAAGCAAGCAAATGAAGTTTGGAACATATCTGATCATGAGAAATTTTTGGGTGATAAGTGCCAACGAAATGTGTATGCGAGCTTTTCATAAACGACTATGAGTGCAAATATTAGTTCTATGCAAGATTCCTACAGCTTTTGTAGAGATTTGGCTCTCTCTCTCTCTCTCTCTATCTCTCTATATATACATGGAAAAAATTATATTAAAATGATATATTTGAACGTAAATTTCAATGTTTTTGATTAGGTTGGATTCATACCTTACATCACTGCTGGAGATCCGGATTTATGTACGACAGAGAAAGCATTGAGATTGTTGAGCTCCTGCGGTGCAGATCTCATTGAAGTGGGCTTGCCTTACCCTGATCCCATCTTAGATGGTCCGGTGATTCAGGTACTTGATCATACAATCATACTGTAATATGTTCCTCCCTTCTCAATTGATTGGAGTCTTCTATTTTGGATGGAAAAGAAGAAATATTAGCAGTGGAATTTAAGATTTTTTCTATAACAATAGCTTCGTTACCATTGTAAGGCTTTTTCCACGTTGAAAAGCAATCAAATTTAAGAAAATAAAATAAAAATCACTTGCGTAACAGCTTCCACTACAGGATTTTCCAAAAATCTGTCAAAAATTCGAATTTTTTGTTAGGATTTTCGATGAAATTTAAAATTTTCTGACAAGTAACTATAATTAAATTAAATGTTATTAAACTAAAATAAATAAATAGTTTTAATAATTATTGTTATGTTAGATTAACTAATTTAAATTAATTAATTAGTTAATCTAATAAATTTTGTTAAATTAATTTCTTCCATATTATCAAATTGATCTTTAAAAAATATTAATATTAATATTTAATTAATTATTAATTTTAGTATTCTATATTTTATAATATATTGCAAAATAGTAGTATTTGTAATAGATTTTTCTCTGCGGCCTATTGGTTGGGCGTTGGTTCTCCGTAGGAGTCCAGTTTGAAATTCACCTCACACATAGGCGGATCCCCATATTAGTGAGGGGGCAAATGCCCACCCTCAAAAAAATATTTTTTAAATTTTAGAGGGTATATTTTGAAATATTTTGAGTATTTTGCCCCCTCTTAAAAAAAATTTCGCACTAATTTTATCAATCATAATCATTTTTGCCCATCGATTTGCCCTCATTTTATCAATCCTAAGCATTTTTGCCCATCCCCCACCCAAAAAATTTTTTTTGCCCACCCTAATAAAAGAAGCTGGATCCGCCCCTGAACAACATCAAGCCTTTATCCCACTTAATGGGGTCGAGATGATCTTTTGTTATGGGTCGTTTTTAAGTGCCAGAAGAGGCTTATTACAATAAAATAATGCTTCATACGGATGTTTAAATAAAAGGTTAAATCTTTTACAAGAAATCTTATAATGAGAAAGATACAATAATATAATTTACTATAATCAAAACATTTTTGAGAAGTCTTTTGTTGTAGATTTGAAATCATATTGATAAACCATTCTGCAAATAATGATTATGAATGCAATAACATATCTGCATCTCCCAAGAATTTTACATAAGAAATTTTATTTAATAAATACAAGCAAGTATAAACTTGCTCAAGTACTTGTACAGATTATAAACAATACCAAAATATAAATTTGACAGAAGAATATTTTGATCCTAAACCTAAGCAATATTTTTTAAAAATTTATTCCATATTAAATGAATTGACATAATTTTATTTTTTAAATAATAAAAAAACTGACATTATTTTATTTTATTTACATGAATTTTAAAATCAAAACAAAAAATCTAATGTTAAAAATAAAAAACTCAGCCACAAACTATAGCAATAAGATATAAAAGTGAATTATCATATCCTTTTTCAATATAATCAGGAGAAAATACCCTTTGAAAACGCATGGCCTAAAGCTCTATAATTTTTCTTTTGATATTCTAAAATAAACTCAAATAGTACAATCATTTAAATTTCATGATCAAAATCTAAAATTGGTAGTGGACATATAAGAAATTCAAGCATAAAAATTATTTTTCTTATTTCTTGAGACTTTGATACATATAAATGGCCAAATCAAACAACAGTGGATCACATATCCACATGAACTTGGGATGGAAAAACAAAAAAAAATTAAGGCTTCGTTTGGGACGATTTTTTATTACTTTCTAAAATGAAATTTTAGTATAAAATTAAAAAATTTTGTACTAAAACCCCGTTTTAGAAAGCAATAAAAAAGCCGTTCCAAATGAAGCCTTAGGCTTCATTTTGGGGCAGTTTTCTTCCATACTTAAAACAATTTTTTAACACAAAAATTTAATTTTTATACTTAAAAACTGTTCAAGAAGCTGTTAAAAAACAATCCCAAACGAAACCTCAAAAAATGAGCTTTAAGAAATTCCTTTTGATTGATGAAGCATCACTCATCTAAAAAATCACAGAATGTTTTGATGACTTCCATTAAAACAGCTGAAAGAATAATATACACAGACTAAAAATAGTAATAATAATAATAAAACTCCTCTTCGCTCACAACATAAACTTCTTTCAAGCTAAAATCATACGGGTAAAAATTTAACATATTTTTTCCCTCCCTCTCTCACTTCTAACTGTAATTCCATGTCCATGAAAAGCATGAAAAAAAGGAACTTTGAACCATCTGTAATCATCCATGATCTCGCGGTTGCCATCGAAGTAAGATTGTAGATTCTCCAATGGAGATAATTAAATAATTAATGTTTCATTTGGAACAAATTTTTTTATTTTTAAAACCAACTTTTTAGTACAACTTTTTCTTAAATTAAAATAGTTGTAATTGAAAGTTGCTTCAGAAAACATTAAAAAAACCGTCCCAAACGAAATCTAAGACTTCGTTTGGGACGACTTTCTTGTTGCTTCTTAAACCAGCTTTTTAGAACATAAATTAAAAATTTTATACTCGAAAACTGCTTTAAGTAGTAAGAAAGCCGTCCCATAGGAAGCCTAAGTATTGAATTAAAAGTTAGATGTGTATTTTGTGGTCTCAAGAATTACTGTTTCCTTGAGTTTTATTTTCATCATTTGTTTGAACCAAAGGCAACTGACTATGCTGATTGCTCCTCAGGAAGCTTTTGGTGTAGAGAGTTCCAAAGACAATAACCTGGTCAGATTTTGACTGCTCAGTTCTCTAAGAGATCAGAAAAAAAAAAAAAAAAAACATAATGGAGAAGAAGATTGAGGGGACCAGGAAATGCTTACAGCTCCAAACCACTGCTCCCAACTAAGGGGATGAGAGAACCAGAAACAAGATAGCATGATACTCACCAACTAGAAACACACAGATACAGAGAATCAGAGACATTGAGAAGCAGTAAAGCGGCCATTGAACTTAAAAAAAAGTACTAGCTGTACCTGTCTTGTGGTCATTATGGTGGCAAATGTAAGAGCCCCAAATGTTCGAATTGTATATGAAATGAAGAATTGGCTAGCGGTTGCTACCTGTACAAGCTTATACAGGTGAGAATTTCATTTATTGAATGATTATCTTTCAGCATAGAACAAAATGCATATAGTCTGAGAATATGGAAAATTGGTAAATGACATCTCTTGACATAACTGTTTCTACCATTAGAAGGCAACAAAAATAGTTTTTTCTTGCTGTCTGAACTTGGTTCCTTATTTTGATAAAATGTGTTTTCAATCTAATAGTAAACAAATATAATAGGTTTTCATTTAGGGCTCCTTGGGTTCCTTGTAAATAGAACATATGTTTAAGAAATGTACTTTTTTTTTTGTTTCACTCATTTAAAATGTCCAAAAGAAATGTTGGTGTCTAACTCCATCAAACCAAATGATAAATTTAAAATTTTCATCAGAATTATTTAAATAGTAGCTATAGATATAAATACTGGCAGATCTGTGCAAAAAGAGAAATCGCCCAAAAGCTAAAGATAAATTTTACAAAATTGCAATTAAACCGACGATGCTGTATGGATTTGGATGTTGAGCTAAGTTGAGAGCAGCAAAAATAAGAATATTAAGATGGATGTATGGCGAAGCTTGAAAGGATAAATAATAATAATTATTATATTAAAAGAACAGTTGGACATCTATTGAAGATAAGATGACTAAAAATAGACTTGTGTGGCTTAAAAATTTATAATGAAAACTAAAAATATATACCAATAAAACAGGTAAATGAAATTAGTATTGGGAGTTTAGAAAAGAAAAGAGGTAGACCAACAAAAGTAACATAGGTATTAATTGTTCAAAATGATTTCCAAATAAGAGGTTTAATGCCTAAAGTCAGACTTAGCAAGAACAAATCAAAAGAAGTTACGAAATTGTTGATCAGGCAGTAGCTACTAAGAATTGCTAAATAACAGCTATGAATAGAAAATATTTCTACGAAAGAGCAGTTTCATTTTCAAAGGTGAAGATTGCAACTCGTCTCCTAAGTAGTAATTGCATGGTCCATCTGATAAGAGTACAAGCTCTCCACAGTGCAATACCCACCTAACTCCCAGCTCAACTGACGCTGTGTACTTCTCCCTTAACCCAGGACTGTCAGGCAATTCAAGCACAAATTCCACTACAAACTAGCGCTGGGTTGGGTGGGTTGGGTAAGATCAAAATCTAAACAGATGCGTAATTTCTTCAACCACCCCATATCAATTTTCCCCTTCTAAATATCCCTTACATAGCCTGCTATAGAGGACAGTTTAAATGGTAAGGCTTGTTTGCAGAAATACAAAAACAAATATCTGATTTCCAGATTTAAATGAGTTAGATGGGGCTTACCGTGGATAGCAACAAGACGTCAAAGATGCAGTCTTGATGGCGAAGCATAAAATCTATTGCCATAAGTAGATGACCCTGTACTACAAGTCCTGCATTAATAAAAGTATACAGTGAACATTTATTTCACCACTTCAAATTTCCTGCAAGGTGAAGGGCGGGGTATGGGTCTAGGGGCAGAACAGCAGTACAAGGATGGGCATCTTATAGCTTATTAAACTAATTAAAATGTTCAGATAAAATAATAAGGAAAATAAATTAAAAGAAGACAAGGAAAAGCAAACTAAGACATTCCAAGATATAAACCTGTACAACAACAACATCAAGCTTTTGTTCCACTAGGTGGGTTCTGCTATATGAATCCTTTTTCTCCATTGTGTCTGTTAAAAGTAAAATTCTCATTTAAATCTAATAAAGAAATGCCATTTCTAATATTTTCTGACCATAACTTTTTAGGTCTACTTCTACCTTTCTTAACATAAGTTGAATCTAATTGATGTAATGCAATGGGGAGTTACACAAGAATTTAAAAGAGAATTAAATTTTAGCTCCACAAATTATCTAATCATGCATCAAAGTTAAGTCATTATAAGTAATTCGCGGTGTTCAATTTGCTAGGCAAAGAAACTACAACAAGAGAGCTAAATCGTTTAAGCAAATGCGAAGGAAAACATAAAACAAAGGCTAGTAAATAAAAATCTCACAATTAATACAAAGTTGTTCACACCTTGAGACCTTTAACACTCTCTTCCTACGGAGACTAGGTTGAGCGACGGAAGATTGTCCAAACTAGCATGGAGGTTGCCACTAAGATGGAAGCACCAAGGAACGTTGCCGTGGAAGAGGATCTCGGAGGTGGAGGCGGCACGGAAGATCGACCTTTGATAATCCAAGTGTAGACGGAGAAGTGTTCGTCAATAGAGTCTACAAGCGTCGGCAATATGCGGTCCAAATATTCTTCGACTGTATCGTCGAAGTCAAATCCGACGTCAAATAATTGTGATCGCAAGATGTTGACTCTTCCGTTGCGGTCGTATTCAAACCCGTAGTTCCACTCGGGTTCGTCCATGCATCCTTGGAGTGGATCCGGATGGTCGCCGCAAGCAAGATCTTCCAAGGAGGAGGGGTGGAGCGGCGGCTTGGCTAAGGGAGAGGGTAGGCCGGCGGTAGAGCAAGGAGGAGAGGGGGCGGGCTAGGTGTGCACAACTGAAATTTGATTTCAGTTTTGGAATAATAGGAGGGAAAGTTTAGGGATTTTGAAATTGCAATTAATGTAATTAAGGCATTAATTGAAATTTTCAATTATGGGAGGGAATAGGGGTGAACCGGCGGTAGAGAGAGAGGGGGGAAAAGAAATAAAATTAAAAATATTTCAGTTTTAAAAGAAGGGGAGGGAAAATTTTAATTCTAATTTGAATTTCAAATTGAAATTAAGGGAAGTAATTAAGCAATTAATGGGTTTCCCATAGGGGGGCCGGCGGCATGAGCTAGAGAGGGAGGGAATTGGGGGAGAGGGAATGAGGGTTTCCAAGTAAGAATTGTTGACTAGGAAAATCTGAAAATAAATCCACTATCATGCAATTTGTGTTGTGGATTGATTTTCAAAACTTTCCAAAATTGGAAGTTCCCAATTTGGCAAGTAGTGAAATTTGAAAATTTCAAATTTCAATGAGGAATTGGTGGGGGAAAGAAGAGGGGAGAGGAGGTGGAGGGGGAGGATGGCCGGCGGCAAGGTGGTTGGCCGGCGGGCCTAGGGTGGCCGGCGGTTGGACTCCAAGGAAGCAAATTGCTCACGATAATTTGGCTCCTTTCCACAATTGTGAATTGTATGCGGGAGATGTGTGTAGGGAAGAAGAAGATATCATGTAGCGAATTTGAGAACTCACTAAGAGATCTCTAATGGAACTCACAAAGAGATCCACATCTTGACACTCACAAAGAGAACACAAATCACAATTTTCATTCAATAATCCAATAATCCTCATACAAGATACAATGGCCATATAAATAGGCTCCAAAGAAAAAAAAAGTGCAAAAGACTAAAATGCCCCTTGGGGCTACAAAAGCAACTACTACCCTCAGGGGTAAAATGGGAAACTACGAAAATAAAAGCATAATATAAAAATTGCTGGTACAAGTAAAATCAATAATAAAGACTCGCAATCATGGCCATCGATCTCCGTGGTCGTCTCTGATAGATGCGCCGAAATCTCCTATCAATGACCTCATCACTAATACAACTAATTTCCTAATCGGGTCATTGGAAGCGCCGTTTTATGTGATCGAACCATCTAAGACGACTCTCTCTAATCTTATCTTCCACTGGAGCTACTCCAATCTTTTCACATATATACTCATTTCATATCCTGTCTCTAAGAGAAAAACCACTCATCCACCTAAGCATCCTCATCTCTTCAATACTTAATTTAATATTATTCTTCTCTTTTAATGGCCAACATTCTGCACCATAAAGTATTGCAATTCTAACAATCATCTTATAGAATTTTCCTTTAAGTTTGAGGGCAACTTTTCTATCACACAACAAACCCGATGTATTCTTCCACTTCAACCATCCAACTTGAATTCTGCTAATAATATCCCCATCCATGTCACCATCACTCTAAACAATAGACCCAATATATCTAAAGCGTGTATTCTTATTAATGACTTGCTCACCCAAAGTCACAATCCCCTACCATAACTATTATTACTAAAATTATACTCCATATATTCTATTTTAGATCTACTCGAACAAAAGCAATTTGACTCTAAAGTGGTCTTCCATAATTCAAGTTTACCTTCAACTCCCTATCTAGTCTTATCAATAAAAATAATATCATCAGCAAAAAGTATACACCAGGATACAACATCTTGCAAATCTCTAGTGAGAACTGAGAATATCCATGATTAAAACAAAAAAGATATGGGCTTAAGGCTGATCATTGATATAATCCAACTGAAATAAGAAAATACTTCGTCAAATCACATTGTGTCTGAAGTCTGAACACAAGTAACAGCTCCTGCATACATATCCTTAATGACTTTAATATAAGCATTATTAATCCCTTTCTTTTCTAGAACTCTCCATAGCACTTCTCTTGAAACTTTATCATATGCTTTCTCTAAATCAATAAATATCATATGTAGATCCTCCTAATTCTCTCTATACTTCTCCATCAAACCTGTCAATAAATGTATAACTTTCATAGTAGACCTACCCGGCATGAATCCAATTCGATTTTGAGAAACATTAGTATCACGCCGCCACCTATGCTCCATAACTCTCTCTCATAGTGTTAAAGTATAACACATTAACTTAACTCCTCTATAATTCACACAATCTTGTGCATCACCTTTATTCTTAAAAATAAGAATCAACACACTAATTCTCCACTCATCTGATATCATTTTAATCTTTAAAATAATATTAAAAAGTATAGCAAATGAAGAAATTCCTTCATCTCCTAAGCATTTCCACAACTCTATTGAAATATCATCATGTCCAACAGCTTTCTCACACTTCATTTTCTTTAAAGCCTCTCTAACTTCAATTTTACTAATACGCCAATAATAATAAAAAAATTTATTTCATTTAGGATGCAAAGGTCACTAAAGTCAATCGCATTCTCATAATCTTCATTGAAGAGTTTATAAAAATATCTCATGCATCTTTGTTGAATATCCTCTTATAATAAAAGAACTTTCTAACCTTCATCATTAATACACTTCACTTGAACTAAATCCTCACGCACTACTCTTATTTCTTTGTTTGGCTAACTTGTACATATATATTTCTCCCTCCTTAGATATGATGCACCGACACTTCTCCTCAAAGAGGTGTGCAGTGTCCGACACCGTGTCCGACACGACACTCGTCCGACACTCCTCCGACACGTGTCAGACACACCGAAAACGTGTCCGATTAAAAAATATTAAATGCAAATTGGACACGCGTGTCGGACACGCGTATCTTAAATATTTTATGAATTTTTTAAAATATAATTTCTTGTATTTTACGGGATTTAAACTAAATTTCTTATTTTCTATCCACAACATCAAATCAACGTCCGCACTTAATACCCAATCATCGAATATTCTCATTTTAATTTCTTTTTGGCAGTGAAGGTATTTTCATCTCCTCTCTTGGTGATTGATAAATGACATCGACGCCTGACTCTCAACGCCTGAAATATTAATTGTTGTTTTTTGAAACTTATCAAAAAAGATAATGTTCATGCTCGGTACCGCTCCGTACATGCTTGGTACCACTAGGTACAAGCTCGGTACTGTTAGGTACATGCTCGGTACCGCTCAGTACATGCTCGGTACCGCTAGGTACATGCTCGGTACCGCTCGATATCTTTCCATACAAATAACTTACAAACTTTAAAAACAAGCAAAACTTCAAAATTACTCTTACCCTGACAGGTCGAACCCCACTAGGGGAGAGCCCCATTGGACCCCGAAAGACCGATATGTTGTTATATTCATGTTGTCTTATTACTGAGATATTTTGATTTCACTTCATATCAATTATAATTTCTATGTTGAAGGATAGTAGTTCAAATAGAGAATATCCATTATGAATTAGGAGGATTATAATCTTCGTATTCTATCAAGGAAAACCTCACTTTATATGACATGTGATAATAAGATGTGGGATGTTATTGGAGATGGGTTCAAGTGCCTTGATGATATGAGATTATTGGTGGTTGCAAATCTTTCTCTAGATGAACCATAGTTGGAAGCAATGATATTCAATGATGATATTGATGGTCAAAAATCAACATCTGAACCTAATTCTATCATTCCCTCTATTGAGTAGTTGGACCTTCATGTTGTACTAAATGGTTTTTTGCTTATATTTTTGTGGTTGTACTGATATTTTGTACTAAACATTTTTATGTTATAAGCTAAACAAGTTATCATGAAATTGATTTATTATTCCTTGTCATTTTTAATATAATGTCGTCTTAATTTCTATATATTATATTAAAAAATTATTATGCCGTATCCACGCCGCACCCGTGTCCTATATTTTAAAAAAATGCCGTGTCCCGTGTTCGTGTCGTGTCGTGTCCGTGTCGACGTGTCCGTGTCGGTGCATCATATTCACCTTAGTATATAATCTATTATATAAATCATTAAAAGCTTTTTTTTTTTTATCGCATATTACTTTCTTACCAACCCCACGTAGTGGGATAAAGGCTTGATGTTGTTGTTGTTGTTGCATATTACTTTCTTAGAATCATTACAGACCTCTTTATATCTTGAGCACAAATCAATTTTTGAGAACACAACTCCTCCTTGTAGCTTGGTCTAAGAGATTATCAATTCATGTTTATCAGGTATGGCTACTTTGCTCAACATCTTGTAGTCTACACACAACCTCAAACTCCCAACATTCTTCCTCATCACCAGAATAGATGCTATGCATGGTGAAACACAAGGTCAAATGAATATTTTCTTCAACAGATCCTGTAGTAGTTTCTTTATGACTTGCAATTCAATAGTCATCATTTACTAAGATTATGTTTAAATATGTCGTTCATGGAAAACGTGTATGCCAATTCTATCTTTCGATCAAGTAGTAGAGGGGTGAAGCCATTTGGGAATGTATCCCTTTAGTCCAGAACTGAAGATACGACGCTTGGTCAAATGATCTTCTCCTCCAAGTCTAAGATATAAACTAAGTCTTTACACCCCTTAGCGACCAATTAGCTAGAATGCCAGATTAGGCGACAAACATGATTGGAGGTGCACTCAACTCTTGCACCCCCAAAAAAAAAGTTTAGGTTGTCACGAGGGACTTAAATCAAATCTTATTATCCAGGTAATTTATTATCCCATAGTGTCAGGTCAAACAAAACAAATCCAAGTATGATATTGAACTCAATTAAAAATATGACAATCAAGGATGAATGAAATATTTGATCATTATGAATTAAGTTTCAAACGCACATGAAGAGACAATAATGCCATCTTTAGCCTGCACTAAGATAAGTTCCTAATTTATTTTGCTTTGTTCTAGTTTTTTTATTTTTATTTTTTATTTTTTTTATTTTTATTTATTTATTTATTTATTTGATAATGTACATGCCGTTGATGTTGGTACCTTTCAACTCTCAGATTTTCCTCAAGCAAGGGATGCGTATCTCTAGTGTTTTGAGTACTTATATTGGATTAGGTTTACTGTTGCAAGCTGTTTTTAATTCAACTCTCAGATTCCCTTGGGCACTGGTTTCTAGCTTCTTGTTCTGCGCAGTCAATTGATTTGGAAAGTTTTTCCTAGGTACTTTTGTTCCCAATTTTACATTATAGCTTGGAGTGGCACCTAATAACCTATGCTTGTCTGCGTTGTGGCAGAGAATGAATGTTTGTTGATTGCCGTTTGATTTGTCGTGTGTAAAACGTGTTATGGGCCTCTATGTTGCTCTTAATTTTTCCTTCATTAGATTTGATTCATATCTAAAGTAGAAAAATTATAAAAGGGAAACAACCAACCATGAGATAACAACTATGATGAAAACTTCAAATGGTTGTTTCCTTTTCTAATTAACAGATTGATATTATTGAATTGTGAACTAGAAACTTATTGATTGAACTAGAAATCTGAGATTTTTTAATTAAAACTTGCGGTTTTTAGCATCATCTTAGGGGATTCAGAAAAACTGCTATGTTATGTTTTTTTTATGAATTATTGAATAAAATTATAACTTTTATCAAAAATTATGTATTGATTGAATAAAAATTCTTTAAGTGGTGTTCAAGTTTTGATGGCAACTGCTGAAAAATGGTTCTCCTTTTACAGTTGAAAGCTAGGATCTTTAAATAGTGACTTCTATCGTTATTCTTTATTTTACTATTTTTTGTTTGTCTGATTAATTGTGCATGCGATTGATATTTGGTTAAGTTCGTTGAATGTCAAAATTCTCTTTTTGTGGGGCGAAGCCTAAATCGTTATGAGGATTTTATTTATTTTCATATATACCTCAAAAAAATTTAGGTTTTGACAACTATTAAATTATTGTTTGGAGCAAATTGTTTGTGTTTTCTGGTTTTGCATCAAAGGACGAATCTTTGGCTAAATTAAAACTAGAGAAACTGTGTGAATTATGATATTCTGTATATTTCTTTGTGCATCTCATCCTATTGGTGAACCTTAGACCCTATATGATATCCTGCATCACAAACCAAAAGCAATAAAAAACAGACAAGCAATAAACATAAAAAAGGAGTATCACCATTATCATTAACCTTATCTCAACTATTTGAAGTCAGTATTATAAATACTTATTTTCATTCAATCCTAATATGTGTTAGTGAAGGTGTTAAAAGAGTAATTAAGATAATCTCACCACAAAAACTGAGAAAAGTAGAGCACAATGTAGTGTAGAATATTTGGTTATGTATCTCCATGTCATAACCCTTGAACAATTTATCTTGGAACGTGCTGGTAAAACCATCAAACCTAGAAAATAAAAATAAACAGTCATCATAAGTTGTATGTAGCAAGCCAATGAAAGGATGAGAATGACAAAAAAAATAAACAATCAATGAAATGGTAAGGTTTGTAATAGGATAAAATGAAAGGATGATGAATCGAAGCTAGGTAAAAAATCTATCTTTGGAGAGAAAAAAAATGTGGTATAAGATTTTAACCATAAAAACCAGTCGAGTACTATAATGAGGTTTTATAAAATTCTAGATTTCTAGAGAAGCCATTTCTTCAAGATATATGAAAATAATAAGGTCAAGCCTCGCTACAAAGAACTTTTGGTCTTCATTTAAAATCCAACCTCTATTTTTTTTTCGTTCATTATATTTATCATTTAAACTAGTAAAAGAAATAAACAATGTAACAATGAAGTATGCATTGAAATCTACAAAATAAAAAGGTCAGGAACTTATTAATCAACAAAGCACACAAGTAATCTGGAGGGACAAAAAGAATTAATAGAAATTTATGAAATATGACATTCATTCTTAGCAAATAAATATATTTGAAGTGCAATACCCAAGATAACCAATCATAAGCGTAACGCCCCACAAAGTACTTTCTCTTCCTATTTGATTTGGGTTGATATCATCTGATACCTGCACCACCAGCAATTGAATATTAATTTAAATGAATCAACCAGTCTGTTCACATTGTACGACATTTTTAAAATTCTTTTGAGCACATTATTGAAACTAATGAGCGATCAAACATTAAACATATCATATAGAGATTCACAAATAATTTCAAATTTTTATAGGTCTTGCCATTAAGGAGGAGAGTGTTGAGGAGAAAAAAAGGAAAAAAAATAATTTCATTAATCAATATAACATTGCCTAATAAAGAACTGAAAACTTTAATTTATATAAGGTTTCATAAAATTAAGACAAAGATATCCATAGGAAGTAATATTATCACATCCTAATACGTGAAACCAGGATTATTTCACCTAGCATTATAGCTGTGATGGTGCATGTCACCTGTGACATGGAGTAAACTTCAAGAAAATCAAAGTTCCAACTATCATCAACTTCAAACAATAAACATGACAGATGCGAAGATAGCAAGTATTGGTGATGGAGTCAAAACTAAGTTGCACTCTTAACTAAGAATTTTAAAAGTGGAATCCAAGATTGATATTCCCAACTTTGACGACACAGTGAATGGTAAGAAGCTTGATGCGTGGCTCATATAGCTAGAGACACGCTTCAATTTCAGTGAGTATCACACTAAAAAAAGGAAGAAGTTCATAGATTTGAAGTTGACAAACCATGTGCTTGCTAGATGGAATGGGCGTTTAAAGAGTTATGTCACCATAGCAGTATCTAATCCAATGGGAGTATAATCTGCAAGAAGAGTGACAAATTGGTAATGACTCATCTACTTCACCCTGATCTAAGTCAAATTTGGTGTGTTTCTACGGTAATAATATAAGTCACTCAAAGGGCAACTGTTGGAAACTTCATCCGAATTTGATGCCAAAGAAGGCAAGTGTATGATAACTAACAATTGTGATTGCAACATCGTGTGAAAGTTTCATGAGCTTGAGGAAGGCCATAACCAAGGTTTAAAATTGCATAATTGAGGATTGAGGCGTTTTTCGTTCATGAGGCGAGGTGTAAGCCTCAAGGCATTTAGAGGTGTAAGCCTAAAAATCTAAAAATTGCTTAAAGAAAAAAAATAAAAGTTAGAAGTGATTTTTTATATAATACCCAAATAATATGTTAAATTATGGTATATTAACTTTCTATTGAACTATGAAGTAACAAATTTGTATACATATGAAACAAAAAATTAAACAAAATGTAAAGTGATAAGTAATAAATTATATGAAATAGAATTGAAATCCAAATATTACATGAGAAAAATAACATAAAATATATGAATTGCATAAACGTATCATATAGCATCAAGTTTAGCTCTAAATTTCTTCTTTCTCAGTTCCTTACTCATTTGCATTTAATTACTAAAGAAAGTTAAAATAATTGACAACAAATCAGAAATCATCTGTACTATCACTAAGGGGATTTTTATTTGAGTCGTCATAACAAATTGGCCTCTCCTATGCCTCATCCTATGGGTCTAATACCTATCAATCTACTTTTTCTTTATTTATTTCAGTCATCTTTCTCTTTCATAAATGTTTGTCATCAACATAAAATATGAGTAATACTTAAATTTTTAAAGGAGATGGTGGCGGCATGTGGATTTTAAGTGATCCCCGGTGACGGATATGACGGTGGTGGCTACGGAGAAGGTGGTGGGCTGGAGGTCAAGGCAGTTGAGAGGAATTTATTGCTGCTTTGAAGCGCAAGAAGACATGATTTTTGGGAGGCTTTTGTACAGGATTTAGTTAATTTCGAAATAAAAAGCATACATAAATAGAGTGAGGCATATGCCTCATGCCAACGAGGCGATGCGTGCCTCAAGGTGGGCCTCAGCCAAGGTGAGGCATAAGCCTCATAAAAAAAAGTTTGAGGTGTAGCCTCATATTGCGCAATTTTAAACAATAGCCATAACCATAGACAAAAGCCTAACATTAATGATAATGGTGAATGTGATAGACTCAATTCTATTGACCGGACCCATTATTGCTAAGAAAATTTTCATGCTAAACATCCAAGTGAAGCAAGAGGTGGTCGCTACAATAATTAACGTAGGTATTCAAATGAATTTGACTATAGGCAGCCTTATACAACGCTATAGTTTAGAGAACAATCCATACTTGCACCCCTATCCATTTGGGATGGATTTCTGCCAAGGTAAAACTAACCATTAGGCATCAACATGAATCAGATTGACAACAATGCTACATATGTTGATAAGATGGAGTCAGACATTGTTCCCCTAGAGCCATACTCAGTGATTATTGGTAGTCCTACATGATAGGGGTGCACGTTTCCACATATAGGAACAATAGTATGAGTTAGTCAAATATAGCCAACTCTATATAGTAGTCTTACAACATATCAACATGCTAGCATATTCAATGACTTGTCAAGTGAGAATTTTTAATAAAAGAAAAAAAAATAACACACTCGTAATCTCACACAATCTCGTGACAATGCTTATCATTATCTTCTCTAGAAGCCCTAACCCACATCCCCCAAGACTATGCAATCACCGCACTAGCTTGAATATATTGAGCCCACTTCAAAAAACATGGTACATGATCTCAAAAACTAGCTAAAACTTTCTTTACAATGGACTCTCTCATTCATTCTCCCTAGCTCCCTCATTTTCTACTATGCTCAACGACCAACAACCTCAAATCTATTTTATCACATAGTCACCTCAAATCTATTTTATCACATAGTCATCCTATCATTTATCTAGCTTGCACGTTCTCTCACACATCTCCTCCCTTGTCTTGAGCTAAACTTCTAGCAACCCACACCATCACATCTCATGCCTCAAAAAAATAGATTAATAAGATACTCATAATTGTCCATGATTTCATTACGTTGCACATTAGCGCCTTTGACACCAAAATCCCTAGCCCACATCACCCATAACACAATGCCATGCCAACCCATCTCTCTCGCACTTGCTCCAAAATTAGGCCACATGATCTTCTCAAAACCCTACAAAAACTCTATTCAATGGTTTATCACATCCACACTACCTAACTCCTCCATCATCCTCTACTATATTCTCAGGGGTTGTTTGGCAAAAGTAGGATTTAGTAAATCATGTAAATTTAGGATTTAGTAACTCTTGGGTATGTTAAATCCTAAAAGTTGTTTGGAAAAATAGTTGTTAAATCCTATTAAATATTGTGAATCTATTTGGCAACGTAATCTAGGATTTAAGGTGATTAGTTCTTTTAAAAATTAAATTTAATATGTTATGAAGTTAATTACATGTTAAGTACGAGTTACTTATTAATTTTAATTTTAATTAAAATCAAGAAGTTATAATGATAAATAATTTAATTAGAAGTAAGCTTAATTATTAAATAATTTAATTACTAATTATAATATCATCTATCAAATTACTTATTTAGGTGTTAATTTAATAAGTATTTATATTTTAATTTAGCTGGATTAATTAAAATAATACTCTACTACTAATTAATTATTTAATTATTATTTATGATAGTATATAAAAATTATTTAATTAATCCAGGGTTTGCTTTTTCATCTTCTATATTTCTACGTTACTATCCTTTTCCTTGTCGCCATTTCTTCGTGCCTGCTTCGGTATTGCGTGCTTCGAGTGAAGTTTGAAGGCTTTGTGTTGAAAGAGTCACTAAAGAAGTTTCTTCGCATTCTTTGGCGACGTCGGATCGAAACTCACGAAGGGAGCTCGGTTGCTATGAAGGTAATCATCTTTATCCCTTTCACATGCTTCTTTGGCCAAATCTCGTAAATCTTACAAATTACAGGATTTAGTAAAACTATGATTTACTGCGAAAAGAGGGAAACAAAAGATTTATTCCATCGTGAGAATTATTGGGCACTCAAATCCCATTTGGCAGGGTTCAACATAAATCCTGCTCAAATCCTATTGCTAAATAGCCCCTCGGTGTCTAACACCCTCAAATTATTTGCGCCTCTCATATCATGTACTCAAACTGGTCTCCCAATGTTGCCCACGAATGCTCATGTTTTTACTCCCTAGTCCATTGCTACACTCCCAATGACATATGCTCTAAAATCATGTGTTCCACCACGTCCATTGTACACTCCTAATGACTTACACCCTCAAATCATATGGTTATCCCACCTTTCTTGTGTCTGATACAACAATCTTAATCTCTTTTTACTTCAACATAAATACTAACCTTCCCACTCTTGCATGCTTGCACTCGTGTCATGATATCTTCTCCACAATGTTGGTTCAAGTTGCTCTTGCTTCCTATGTGAACCAGGACACTTGTTTTCTAACTATTTGAAGGAAAATTGATCCTTAATCCGGTTACTGTGAAGACCCATGAATATTGATGCTTGATCTGATCGGAACCAAATATCACCCACTGCATCTTTGATCCATAATCTGGATGGAGCTTCAAGACTTTTGCATAATCAATCTTCGATCCAACAAGAGTTCCAACTCCCTTCCATTTATCCTTGATCTTTCTCACCAATTATTATGTATGCCCAAAAAATATGGTGGTGGCTAATGAACAATTGCATGTGATGGACAACATGATCGCTTCACGTTTCAAGTGTTATTTGTGCGTTCAATACCTCTGTCTGATCATTGGAAAGGTATTGAACATCTTCGTTGCCAACTGAATGGCAGGTGAGTAAGAAGCATGCATGCAACTAGGGAAAGTTAGAAAATGAGGTTGATTATGATCAAAATGTATGTTATTTTGCTACACAATATTCAACAACATCAAAGGCCCCATAAAATTAAGACCTTCAAATGTTAAAGAAGATGATGACTCATAAATCTTTAGTTAAAACAAATATTTTAAAAAGGGCAACTCATATTCCAATTACCAGTAAATTATTGAAATGGCATAAAACATAAATTCGAAATAAGCCTACCCTGCAACCTTTTGGAAATCGCCAATTGACAATGGATTGAAACCCATTTAAGCCTTAGTAAAATTTCCTTGTATAAGTTATTAGTCATATGAAATGCTAAT